TCCGCAAGGGGGCGGAGGAAGACGGAAGCTCTGACAAAGTTCAGCTTTGCCGAGGGCGAACGGGTGGGAAAAAGGAAAGGGAACGGTCCGGTAACGCAGTGGCCAGCAGTTGGAGTGGAAGGGAGGCTAGCCGCGAACATCTAAGTTCATAAAAACTTTTACTGGAGACTATGAGTTTCATTTCTTTTACAAGTGTGAATTCTGTTCTATTAGCCTTTTTAGGCGATATACCACCCTGCAGTACAATCTGAAGAAATAAAATTTATTAACTCACGCTAATTCGAGCTCTAGGATAACAAGACAATAGTAAATTACGGTAAACCCGCCCCCTCCCCTCTCTTCCCCCCCCATACTATGGATGGAACCCAAGGTCTCCCTCCACCACTGACCTACATCCTTGCCCCCCTTTTTAATATTTTGAGACAAGGTCTCACTGAATTGACCAGACTGGCCTCAAACTTGTGATCCACCTGCCTCAGCCTCTCTCCAGTAGCTAGCATTACAGGTGTGCGCCACCTCATCTGGTTCAGTAACGACTTTTTAAGAAACAAATTTAGTGCTTGGACAAGTATTGTCTTAATTGAATACTAAATGGTCCAGTCCTATGTTAACTCCTTCATTTTGACTAAAGTTTACTAACCACCTTCTGTGGACTATACAATGGAATAAGCTAAAGGTGTCTACCTTTTCAGAGGGCTCGGTAGATAGGTACGTGAACACAGACAAAACTATCTGCCTAAAGTATAGAAGCACAGAAAAGGGAATGACAACTGAATATTGCCATTTGAACTGTATCTCAAAAGGTGAGTAAATATTAAAATTTGCATTGTTAATTTATTATTTTCATAACATTTCATCCTCAGAGGACTTTACAATATGACTTATAATACGCATTCAGTAACTGTTTAATGAATGATAAGTTATGAATTACATACTTTAAAAAATTCCCTGGTAAGTTGCTTCTGACTGGGTAGCATGAAGAATGAAACAACTGGATGAATGTTTGGAGAGCAAAATATTTCTCTTCAGGATAAATATTGATCACATTCAACTGGGGAACTAAATAACATTCACTACTCTCTCTATTTCTCTCTCTCTCTCTCTCTCTCTCTCTCTCTCTCTCTCTGTATATATATGTGTGTGTGTGTGTGTGTGTGTGTGTGTAGTTTCCAAAAATTTGAATTTGCACCTATTTACCTTTGAGTTGAAATTCCTGTGCTTTTTTTCTATAAAAGTATTCCTGAAAACGTCCATCAGGATATTCCACATAAAACCATATCTAACTATATCTCATTTTCTTCACTATAAAATCAGACATCGATGTCATCATCTATTTATCCCTAATCTGTATCTGCTCAGTGAAGTAAAGCCACATGGCAAAATACCAAAGTGGCATAGTACAGCTCTGTTTTCACTTGGCAATAAGAAATTTGAATGAATTTCCTTAAGATAGTCTCCAAGATTTTGTTTTGTGAGAAAGCAAACTATGTGGCAATTATTGAACTATTGAATTTTTGTTGTTGTTGTTAGGACTTAAAATTATGAATGTTCCACTGTTTGTTTTTTGCGGTACCAGAGATCGAACTCAGGACCTTGTGCTTGTGAAACAGGCGCGGCAGCAGTGAGCTAAATCCCAGGCCCTCCACTGTTTAATATAACTACATTTCACAGGAAAGAGAAATAAGACAGTTGATATTTTCCTGGCAATTGAGTACCTAAAAAATTAGCCAGCAGATTAATTACCA